TTTAATTTCCATTTTCGTAAACAGCATTCAAAACCCTATCGATCTATCTGGGTCTGAATTCAAAGTTCCAAGATAAGCAGACTACCCCTCCCTGGTGAGTATCAAATCCCGTATCGACGCCCGTTCGGGCAAAGCCTCCCACCCTCCAGTGTCGGTTGATTGATACCAGACTTTGATACCAGACCAGATCTTACTCCAGACTCGTCTGGAAGGATAAGAGCACTGACGTCTACATTGGCTGGGCACCGCAAGACATTGCGCAGACACATACCCTTCTAAAATGCTACTACGATTCTGTAGAGGGTGGTGCATCCCAAAGCTGGACGCCGGAAGTTTTACAATTTTATCCTCCTACATTTTCTGACTCCTATTTTATTTTTGATTTGTAAAGAATGGCAAATTCCTATTTCAAAAACATAGATTCAAGGCAAAGAGCGCTACGTCTCTCCATTATTTCCTATTCCAATTTTTCAGTTTTTTCACTGTTAACTTATTCGTTTTGTTTCTCTGTTGAGATTGTTGGCAGTCGCAAGCGAGTTCAGGTGAAACTCAAAACCTCTCTGAAATCGATTTTGAAGCCACTGTCGGAGACTTTAGCGCTGAAGTAGCAGTACAGGACTTGGCAACGGTAAGCAACTTTAGTGAAGGCACGATTCGAAATACTACCAAGATGCCAATGAACATTGAGTCAAGGGGAATGCATTGAGATACAGCGGGAAGTATCATCCCAATCATCGTTAAAGTCCCTGAAAACAATCCAAGACTCTCAAGCACCATACAAAACATGAACTGAAAAGATTCCTGGAGTGGAGGTAGGTTATTCAACATTCTTGACAAAATGTCTCAGAATGTTCGTAGAGTTCTGATCACACAACTGAACGCCTCTGCTGGACTCATCGCCTGCTTTATAAAGGCAGGTTTTATTGTTGATCACATCTGGATCGCTTTTAAGAGAAAGCCGACGGAACAGAGGTACTTCCCGACGTATCAACCCAGCGCGCCTTCCCTCGGAGGAGCTCTTAGTAGCGGTGCAGGCTCTAATAAGAAGTGCTGTATGGATAAAAAGATTGTGGAGAGAGAAAGATGCCGGACGCAAGGCCCAAATTAATTGTAAACCGTAGACAGGACCAGCAATACAGCAATCCTAGACATGACGTTTATAGAGTCCACGGTTGGTTTTTTCAGAGGAGACTGGCCGGGATGGACTGGCCCAGCCAGTCGTCGAAATTAAAACAATCGAGGGCTCATAGAAAGAGTAGAGAGGAAGAGGAAGAAGAAAGAAACTCTATGAAATGCCAAGCTGCTAAGAGTGAGAGGAGTAATGCGTACAATTTGGGCAGGCCTTACATCTTACTTTTCAACTTCTTGGTCTCGCTCGAGGTGTCATGCAATGATTGATGAGAAGGGCATTGCGATGAAATAGTACATTGTTGACGTTTTCTCACTCCTCGCTCTCATAAATCGACCTTGCCTCGTTGCAACTGCTTATCTAAACTTTGTTGTCATTCTGCTAAATTTGATCTTTCTCCATGAAATTGTTTTTTTCTTCCTAGCCACACATTTATTTTGACTCTCGAAATATTTTCGTTGTCATTCATTTTCTCCAATAATTAAATGAATAAATAAATGCAATGCTAAAAAATAATTGCATGGCCAAAAAGCATTACTTTCTTTAAAAAAATTGATTCGCATGGAATAAACTACTTTCTGATCGGTGTGATCAGATGTCTTTACAGCTGAACAAAATTCAGATAGAAAAATGTGAAATACTCGAATTAGGCTTAATTACCAAGAATCATATCACTGTAAAAATATGCTAGAAATGCTACTAAAAAGCAGACCTATTGACCTATTGGAGTGAAGGCAAGATTTAGCAAACACCACTACTTTACGAAAGATGTAAAGAACACTTTCATACAGACGTTAAGCTGTGTAACAATGAGCAAACACACTAGAGAAGTGAGTACCCAGTTTTCAGAAGCGCCAATGAGTAAAATCGTTGCTTAATAGAAAAAATTACGTCTCATCCCCACCATTACTGCATTTTTCTAAGGACCTCTACTTCTGTTCCTTTGGCGACTAACTTCTACTCACGAATTCGCTTTGCAGTTGATCAGACACAAACGAAAAATTATAAAGAAGATGGAGAAGGATTAAATAAAAGCTGAACACTGGAGTAGCAGCGAAGAGACATGTTATGAAATGTAGAAAAGACAGTTATTTCTGGATGTTATCGACAACAAGTGAAAAGTAAACAACGGCCTGTTGTTTTCTATGCCGGTAAACATGATCATTGGTTATTTATTTATCAAAACATTGAATTTATTAAATTAAAGCCTACCACTAAAAGCAGATAAGTTAAGAATAACTCTATGTAAAGTGCAACACATATTCGAAAAGAGCAGCATGAGGAAGCGAACCCGTGAATGAGCGAGAAAACGAATGGACGAAAATCGATGGCAAGCTAGCCGGCGGTCGGTGACGCCTACGACGGGCGATCTTTGGGCCATGACAGAAGCGATCAACGATCACAAATGACCTTATCTCAAGGGCCACACCGTTAATAGGGTGTCGAAGCCAAATTAAGATAAAGGATAATGTGGGAACATCAAAAGAACAAGCACTTTTGGGATACGCCATGCTTGTGACTTGCTTTGAAAAAGTAAAATTGTCTGACCTTCACAAACAAATAGAGTTCAAATTATCAGAGAAGTGTATTAATGTAGAATTAAAGGCTTGATTGACGCTAGTGGTATGCAAATTATAACTTTTGGCCATCGAACCACGTGTATCAACTTTCGCATATACTGCAGGGTTTAATAGGAAGTTCGCTGAAATGGAATAATTGAAAACGAAAAATTCTTTCCAGCATCCCTTTAGATCAGAGAGTATTTTAAAAAACATGAAAGAAAACACGACCTGCGCTTGCAAGCGATGCCGTAATGCCCTAGAAGAAACAGGCTCAGGCTAGCGATAAGCACATTGACTGTTAGCTGTTAGGGAGGGAGAATACTTTCAATACTTTCAAATAGCTTGCAAGAAATCATTGCTATGCCAGTCTGCAACCCAGAAAACATTGAACATTTGCAGATTAGAGTTGTACAGTGGCCAGCCGGCAACCACAGGGGTTTTTTTTCGTTGAATGTCACTTCTTACCAGTTTAAACTGCCTTATCGCGATGCAAATAACTAGCGGTTTGATCAGTGGCTTCTTGATAGTACAAAACTCAGCACTTGAATTTTTCTACAAAGGAGACTATGGGCGGACTATAGGAGCAGTGGACGAACTAGCTTAAGCCGCGGTTAGGGAGAATTGCCAGAATCAAAAAGGAATGGAGTGAGTGAAGGAAATTCCCCTATGAGCATTTGTCCAGAAAGTGTACAGCCGATTGAGTATAGTGTACAGAGGGGCGCTATATCCAACTCAATATCCGGTCACCATAGTAGGCCAATCGATCAGACTTCGGGCTTTCACCATGCATCTTACTCCCCCTTATGATCACAATACTTTGTTTTAATATTATCGGTTGTATTTATTTATTTATTTCCAGAATGGAATCCATAGACCTATTAAAATGCTCGATGTAGTTTTATGAATATTCAACTGATTTCATCAGTCTGTGAAGAAACAGAGCGATAGAACAAAGAACCAGAGAGCAGATATTCAATATGACTTCTTAATTCAGCCGGCTACCATCTCAGCGATATGGTAATTAGGAATCGGCTAGGCAAAGCTAGAAATGTAAAAAGGTTACCAGCCCAATAGCTTGGAATATTTGCTCCTGCTCTCAAAGTGCTTTGACCACGTAGATGCCCTTGCAAAACAAGAATAACGTCAACATCAATCTTTTCGGATTGTGAAGGTCTTACTAGAGACCGATACAGATTTTGTAAATCAAAGGCGGAGATTCGACAAAATGTTTGATGATGTTCCTACGGGATATAACCCACAGGATAAGGTAGGACGACAACAACAACAAGGGGCACGAATGCTTCATTCACCTCGTATCGATGGTGTTCGACGATAGAAAGATCAGAAACATGCCTGGATAACATTCATCAAAAAAATCACTCTATTATAGTTGCATCAATAATATCATTTCAAATAGGCACTATAGACCTGTCATGGGCCCGAGAACTATGGCGGTTTATGTTAAGGCCAGCTCGCTATGAAGTGGGAACAAATGCTGACAAATGACAACAACGGCTATTCTACAATAGTCAATAAATTAAACAAATTCAAATGGGGGAAGATATAAGGAGGTTAACAATTCAGATCACGAAGCTTGGAGCCTTAGCACGATGCAAGTTCGTGCAGGTGCATAGACACATAAATGATTTCGGCGGCCTTGGTAGCCTTCGGGGAAAGTGTGGTGTTCGCAGCCAAGGAGTAGACGGTTATGCCCGCCGAATCGCTCTTCGTCACTGTTCAGGACCATTTTGTAACTGGAACAATCACAGAACTAATCACTCTTTCATCACCGACATTCAGAAGTTGTATACGTGGTTAAGTGAAATTAATATGTATAGATATAAGACAGCCACAAAACAAGTATCTTTTACAGTAGCATAATCCGCATACCCATCTGACCGGAATTCGAGAAAGCCCAAGGGCATAGTAAATTATCACAAGAATTGAGATGAACCGCGGCTCTTTACCTTGATTCACTCTCATTTCTACAAAGGGGTCTGACGACTAGTTGCTTGTGGTGTTTTAGATGGCAGCGCCGACCAAGGGCCACACTTCAGCAAGCACAGACAACAGAAAAAGTCTCTTGACTTTGGAACTATGCTAAACCTACTGAGCATTACAATTCCTGGATGGATCACTCGATAGTAAGCCTACTTGGGAGGTAAAAAATAAGATGAGCCTCGTTTAATGTCCTCGTAAACAAATATGCTTGGCAAATACGAATTCTAATACCGCTATTGGAAATGGAAGCCTAAGGCTGTCCCCTCGGAACGGGGTTTCTCATAGTTGGCTTGGAATGCCTAGACCTTTTTTCCCTCAGTATTTCGCCTACCTTGCAACGAAAATTAGACTATAATGCCGATATGAAAGCCATAGAGAGACAATGGGACTTACATTCCAGGAACTTCCACGCCAAGCCTATAATCGGTAAAACTTTTCGATGGATGGAAGTTGAAAATGAACAGCACATTGGCCCGCTCGAAGCAGATCATTTTGTCGTCATCGTGTTTGCATGATACATATGCCTGGACATTGATTAAATACAGTTTGTGAATCCTACTTCGAAAGGAGAAACAGGGGAATGGTTGAAAACAAGTACTTACTGGCCATGCATGAAGAAAGCCTGTGGCCTCCTCGAGTGCATTCATCTCTCGATCCCATTCATTCAACCACTTATATCTGTAATTATGAATATATTAAAATTATCGAACGCCATGATAAAAAATCAGTTGAAGCAACAGGAAGAAGTCAAGAGGAAGGGACCTCAACATGTCATCATCTACTAAATTGAACTGTCTCCTAGCGTAATGGAAGGACTCGCCGTTACCGTAACGTGGGAAATCCAGCCATTCTGGATGGCCAAACTCATTCCCTGAAATTCATAACTTTTCGGGTATTTGAATCTCTGAGACATTTGTCATTCTAATAGCCAGCAAATGAAACACATGGAGATGCTTTACCTATGAAGTTCAGCCAGGCCTCTCCTCCAAGTGCCATTGTCACAAGACGAATCATCTTATGCAATGCAATGCCACGTTCGATAATCGGAGTCAAGGGAGTTGTGACGGACATGAAGTCGTACATTTCTTGAAATAGTAGGGCAGTAATTTTTAGAAAATCATTAGATTTTTCTCGAAAAATTATTCTTCATAACACGGCGCTCTCTTACCTTTGTCCATAAGCCAAAACGCGATCGTCTTGTCTCCCACAAGTGCCTGATCATGAGATTCGGCGTAGGCGATGTTCTTCTCACCATACCTGAACACTTTTCACGATATGGAGAGCTTTGTGATAGGAAGCGGTCAGGGAAAGAGGACAAATCAAAGAATGTGGACCGCTTTGGTCTCGCAATGAATCCCTCTCAGCCCAACCTGTCGAAAAAGATGAGGAGAAAAATAACACACCGTCGATTTTCAAGTGTGGCGCAGATATCTCCAACACGCCAATCTTCGTCCTTCATATGCTTCAGAATTTTAATCCACATATCGGGCAGTGCCATCGCTAGTCGGTAATCGAATCCTTGCCCACCTTCTGCCACGGGGCGGCAAAGGGCTGGCATTCCGGAGACTTCCTGAAACACAAGCGATACCCGTGATGACCGCAGGAGGTACTGAAGACCAATAAAACAAAAAACGGCTCTACGGTACCAAACCTCGGCAACGGTGACTATTTCTGGATACTTCTTATGAAGGAAGTCATTCGCAAGCATCAGATAGACTAGAGACTCTGTATCTGCATTCAAACCGAAATACATCGGATATCCACCAGCAAAGTCGTCACCTACAAAGCAGACCTATCACACAAAATATTTTCTTCACATCCTACTTCAAGAATTCTACAAAACGTGTAAGTTACACGACTGCATAGTAGAGTGTACTACTGCGAGGGCCAACATATTTGCATTTCACCAAAGACAGCTATAAATGAATTTCGAAGATTTCATTCGTTAACGCTTTTGGAAGCAAGTTCG